AGGGAGGGGAAAAATGAGGACCTAATGCCGAGGGCTTAAGTGGAGAGGAAATGTTTTGAGAATGATGAGGGCAATGAATGTACAAATGCACTGTATGCAATTGATGTATGTATGGATTGTGATAAGAGTTGTATGGGTCCCTAATAAAATGATTAAAAATATAAAATAAAATAAAGTGCTAAACAAAAGGCCAGCAGTTCAAATCCACCGGGCACTCTGAGGGAGAAAGAGCTGGCTCCCATGAAGATTCCCGGCCTTGGAAACCTCATGGGACCAATGAGAGTTCTACACTGTCTCCTTGCGTAGCTCTGCGCGGAGCCACCTGCAGGCAGCTCTATTGGTGTGAGTGAGGAGGCTGGTGCAGTGAAACCTTAATCTCCAGAACCCGACTCGCAGAATGTTCTTGTGTGTTATGATCGTGGCAACACTCCACTCTTAGGAGAAAGAAAAGAAACGATTTTGAGAAAGAAAGACATCCAGAGATGGTGTCTGCAAATAAAGGAATCATTGCTAGGGTGGCTGCCTGGGCTATGTATCCAGAGCCCTCAGCCAGTATGACTCAGCTCCGCCTCTCTCTCAGTGGCTGGACGTGACCTTGAGCAACTTACGGGACCTCCTCCTCTGTAAACTAGAGATGGTAATGATACCTCATGGGGTGGATATGTGGGTTAAATAATATATTTAACATGTTTATAAACACTTTATAAATGATGACTATGTCCCTTATTATTCCACTTGCATATGTCTGTACATGCAAGCGGTATACAATAAGATTGAAAGTGCAGAATCGCATGGCAACTTTTTGCAGGCATTGACGATGATCTCTTCTCCTTTTCAGAAGCCACAGAGGTCAGGCTGTTCTCAAAAGATAAGACTGAGAAGTCAAAACTTGCCCACTCACAGCCTTTCCTAAGGTTTTCCCAGACCCAGTCCCACACCCCTGGTGTCCTGATGAGGCTCTCTGAGGAGGTGGGTCGGTGCACGCACTTGGAAGTCATAAAGACCTGACCCTGTAGCCTGACTCGCCACATCAAGCAAGTTCACTACACTCTACACCTCAGTTCACTTATCTATGAAAGGAGGCTGATAGTAGCCACTATCTTACAGGCTGTGTGAGGATTAAATGACATAACATAGGTAAAGAGTACATACCGACTGTGTAGGAAGCATTCAATAAGTGTTAGCTGGGGCAAAATAAAGAAAACCCCATTCTTGAGTATCATCGACTCTCTTGGGTCCCTCCAGACCTGGGGCATCTTCCCAAAGCTTGGCCAGTGTCGGTCTGTCTGGTCCTTAAGTGACAACTCTAAGTGTCTCACCTTAACTTGAGGCACTTTTCTTGGTTGTTCTTCGCAATATTCTAAAATCCAGTTTTGAAACTTGAAATTTATTTACCTATATGATTATAAATCATACTCATATTTCATTATGGGACTGAGAGTGGAGTTTACATCGATGACAAACAGATTTCTAATTATTCAACGTTTTCTTCCTTAATTAACTTAATGATTCTGCATCTTGCTTCTCTGAGCACGAGCAGTGTCTCAGCAGATGATTTTGCATCTCAGAAGCTCAAGACCAGCCCCCTGAGGTACAGCGAGCATTTCCGCAGCTCTCCTGGTCACCCATCCCTGATGCAGGGGTCTGGCCCACGGCGCAGTAATCTCAGGTGTGGACAAGACTGTTCATTAAGCACTAGTGGAGGTCAGTGGGTGGGAGGGGTGGTTTTCATTGAGGAAATCCACCCACTGCTGTGAAGTTGATTCCAGCTCATAGCAGCTCTATAGGACAGAGTAGAACCAACAGTTCCCAAGGCTATCAATCAGTGGCTCTCAAGCTTGCTAATGCAGCGACCCTTTAATATAGTTCCTCATGTGGTGACACTCCCCACCCAACCATACAATTATTTTCGTTGCTACTTCATAACTGTAATTTTGCTACTGTTATGAATCGGGCGACCCCTGTGAAAGGGTCATTTGACCCCCCCAAAGGGGTCTTGACCCACAGGTTGAAAACCGCTGCTGTAAATCTTTATGGACCCAGACTGCCACATCTTTCTCCTGCAGAGCAGCTGGTAGGTTTGAACCACTAACCAACCTTTTGGCTAGCTGCTAGCACTTGAACCACCATACCACCCAGGCTCCCTGTGGGAATGTGAAAGGGGAAAGTTGAGTAAGACTCTAATTGGTGGAGCAGCTAAACAGAGATGCTGGGCTCACATGTCCCTTGCAAAGTCCAGAGGATCTGAGCAATCAGGTGTGGCTGGAGTGTGGGGGTAGAAGCAAGGGTGTTAGGAAATTTGGATTGGGAAGGGCAGTCTAAGGTAGGATGTTAAGGGGCTTAGACTTTGTCCTGAGGCTGATGGAGGCTCAGTCAAGTTTTGTTGTTGTTTTGTTTTTAAAGCAGGAGAATTACATGGTGAGGTGTGTACTCATAAAGACTCCTCTACTCTAGAAAACCCTGTGCAGCAGTTCCACTCTTGCACGCAGGGGGCCACCATGAATCAGAATCAACTGCAGAATAAGTAACAGCAGTAATTCAGCTATCAGTGCAGGGCTGGATGAGAATCCCCTGGTGACCATGACCAACTGCAGGCCTTGATTTAGAGGTCGAACATGATGCCTGGGATTCGATACTTCTCACCAATACCCAGGTGATGCAGATGCGGATGCTGGAGGTCTGGCACCAAAGGGAGAAGCACTTAAGTGGAGGGTTGGTGGAAGGAGGGTGAAGGCCTGGCCTGAAGAGGAGGTCAGTCAGGAGGCATGTAGCTGATGATGGCCTGAGCTAAGCCAGTGAGAGTGGAGATGGGAGAGAGGGCAGATGTCAGCTCTAAGTGGCATCAGCAGGACTTTGTGATCCACCCACTGCTAGCAGTGGGAGTAGAAGGGCTAAGGAGCCTAGGTTCCTGGCTGGTGCACAGAGACCTCGCTCCCAGAGACAGTGTGGGTAGCAGGGGGAGCAAGCGCAGAGTGGGAAATGATGCTCAGGTGACTTTAGACATTCTGAGCGTGCCTGAGAGGGCTGACTTGCAGGGGAGGGGACAGCCCAGGGGAGAGGAAGGCCCAGACATGGCGCAAAAAGGCTGTGATATCAATTTGCCATGTGATCTCACGCAGTATCATCTACATGAAGTCCCCAGGTTACACACGACCTACATACAGAAAACTCCCACTTGTTCTTTAATAGTGTCGATTGGCCCTCACTTGGAAACCGGTGAGAGGATTCTGATGCATCACAGCTAGAACAGAACCATCCGAAAACGTGCTGGTAAATCTTCATGCAAGCTGCCACGAAGCAGCCAGGGGGTTCAAACTGCCAGCCTTGTGGTTAACAGCGGAGTGCTTTAAGCAGTGCATCGCCAGGGCTCGCTGAACCAACCTCGATTCGCCACAAAGTCTTCATCGCAATCACCTTCACCTGCAGCACCTGCAGCTTTTAAATCATCGGAAAGCTTTGGAACTTTTTCTTGCACTGAATTAAGACTCATTAAGAATATATTTGACCAGGCCCAAGCTAGCTACAAATTCTTCAAGACACGGGTAGGGATCGAGCTCGTTTGGAACCTTGGGGGACAGCCTGCACCTCCAGGTGCTTCATTCGCTCCAACAAGATGAGGCGGTTTGTCCTCTCTCTTTCCAGGGACGGTGCGGGAGCACAGTGCTGTGCGGAAGGCATATTCAATCCATAACAAGAGAGAGGCATCTATTTAACAGAACTTCAGCCTCTTTTGTTTTCTTTCCTTCCAGGCCACTCACAAACCGACAACGGTTGCACTAAGCTCCACGAAGTAAAATATCAGCAAGAACCCAGATGTCTATCATCTTTTTTCTCCACGGGTACTTTATTTGGCAAAGTTTTAAAAGCACTTGCCATATTTTCGGCACACACATAGACACACGACTCACCTGGATTTCTGTTCACAGTTTCATCAGGCACCCAGGTGAGGTCGTCCTTGTCATTCCTGGGGAGGCTTTGAAGAATTCTCTTGGCTTTATGCTCCCTTGGGTTTTGTTTGTTAATTATTGCCTCCCTGTGACAATCTTTCTTTAACTCCATTTGGGCCTGAAAAGGATCAATTACAAATGAATGACGTTGTCCACGCTCTTGTCAGCAGAGTGCATATGCGGAGCAGCTTGCAATTTGTATGCCCATCTGCAGACACTAACCCAAACTGGGGTTTTGGTTCCCATTGGAAGTGAAGACACTCATTCTTCATGGGACTGTTAGGAAGAAGGCGAATATATCCAAGGTCTCAAAAGGTATGGCTTAATATGAAGACCCCCATCCATTAAAGGACATTATCACAAAATGAAAAGACACCCTATAGATGGTGAGGAAATTTTCAGGAACCCTATGTTCGATAAGGGTCTAATACCAAATACACACACCCCATATAGAATATCCATATAACTTACGGATGGTTTGCTGTCAACTAGACACTCTTGGCTAGGGTGGAACCCTCACGGCACAGCCTGGTGCCCCTGCCTTGAAGTCACAGCCTTTGGATGAAAGTGAGGGACTCTGGGAACGATTCTCTTGCTGGAGCTCCGCTGCTGACCTGGGAGCGAGCTGTTGGCGGCCTGTCAGGTCTCCACGAACTTTGGATCCATGTGACCCGTGCCCAGTGGCCTATGATCTTTTTGCTTCCCTGTTCATGGTTCTGCATCACTGTCTTGGGGTTATGTGAGTCTGAAGGTGGACTTATAGGCTAGTAGCAGACTTATGGCCGTGTGTTGGCCTGGGCTGGGGTGCCTGCTTGATGTGAAGATGCTTCTTAATATAAAGTTCTTTCTTATGCATAGACGAGTGCCACTGGATTTTTCCCTCTAGATAACCTACCCTAACACACTTAACATAAAAAAGGCAAACAACCCAATTTAAAAATAGAGCAAAAGACTTGGGCCGTCATTTACTAATGAGGATATTCAAATGGCCAACCAGTACATAAAAAATATGAGTTCTGTTTAACTCCATTGTGCTGGCTTATCACTGGCCAACAGAAAGAAGCACACCTGGGGTTTATTCACCTGGAGCATCAGAGGAGGAAGGTGAGTCAGAAATAAGAGGAAATGAAACATGTGGGTAATGCTCTTCATGAGTATTTACCTTCTTTGCCATGAGAACAGAAGCAATGGATGGTGCCCAGCTGCCCTTACTAAACATTTTGATCAAACAATCTATAATATAATCCTGATCAAAGGAGGAACTCGCAGAACAGAAATTTTAATTCTCATAGACTCTAGACTTTCTGGAGCCATAGAGAGTTGATAAACTCTTGAAACTACTGCCCTAGATCATCTTTAAACCCTTAAATCAAATATTTCCTCTGACATCTTCTTAAAACCAAACAATAATTTAGCTTAACGTACTGAAAAATGTCTACCTGAAGTATTGTATGGGGTCAAATTGACAACAGAGAGAGTCTATAGGAAATGTAGGGGGCAGTGAGTTAATGAAGGAAAAACACCTTGGAAAAGGAGGGTGAGAATGGGTTGCACAACGTGAAAAATATAGTCAGTCATTGAATTGTACATGTAGAAATTGTTGAATAGGCATATATTCTGCTATCTATATATTTAAAAAAAATAATTTTATTGGGGGCTCATACAACTCTAACCACAATCCATACATCCATCCATTGTGTCAAGCACATTTGTACATTTGTTGCCATTATCATTCTCAAAACATCTGCTTTCTACTTGAGCTCTTGGTATCAGCTCCTCATTTTTTCCCTTCCCTCTCCGCCCCACCCATCCCTCATGAACCCTTGATAATTTATAAATCATTATTATTTTGTCATATCTTACACTGTCCGATGTCTCTCTTCACCCACTTTTCTGTTGTCCGTCCCCCAGGGAGCAGGTTACATGTTGATCCTTGTAATCGGTTTCCCCTTTCTACCCCACCTTCCCTCCACCCTCCTGGTATTGCTACCCTCACCACTGGTCCTGAGGAGTTTATCTGTCCAGGATTCCCTGTGTTTCCAGTTCCTATCTGTACCAGTGTACATCCTCTGGTCTAGCTGGATTTGTAAGGTAGAATTGGGATCATGATAGTGGGGGTGGGGTGGGGGAGGAAGCATTTAAGAACTAGAGGAAAGTTATGTTTCATCATTGCTACACTGCACCCTGACTGGCTCGTCTCCTCCCTGAAACCCTCCCGTAAGGGAATGTCCAGTTGCCTACAGATGGGCTTGTGTCGCACTCTGCACTCCCCCCCATTCACAATATTATTTTTTTCTTTGATGCCTGATACTAGATCCCATTGACATCTCGTGATCACACAGGCTGGTGTGCTCCTTCCATGTGGGCTTTGTTGCTTCTGAGCTAGATGGCCACTTGTTTATCTTCAAGCCTTTAAGGCTCCAGATGCTATATCTTTTGATAGCCGGGCCCCATTAGCTTTCTTCACCGGCTTATGCACCCGCTTTGTCTTCAGCGATCACGTTGGGAATGTGAGCATCATGGAATGCCAGTTTAATAGAACAAAGTGTTCTTGCATCTAGGGAGTACTTGAGTGGAGGCCCAATGTCCATCTGCAACCTTAATATTAAATCTATAAATACATGCACATAGATCTATTTCTCCATCATCATATATAAATGTATTTACATATGTACATGCCTGTATTTAGACCTCTATAAATGCCCTTTGCCTCCTAGTTCTTCCTCTATTTCCTTTGACTTTCCTCTTGTCCCACTATCATGCTCAGTCCCCACCAGGGTTTCAGTTATTCCGCTTGGTTACATCGCTCTTGCTCAAGCCCTACCAGGCCTCCCACACCCTCTTTGCCACCGATTTTGGATCATTTACTGTTCCCTTGTCCCTGGGTTTGTTAACACCACTTCCTTTCTCCCAGCTCCCCCTCTCCCATGTCCTCCCGGAACCTTCGGTCCTATTGTTTTCTCCTCCAGATTGTTCATCCTGCCTATCTTATCTAGATAGACCTGCAGAGATAATAATATGCACATAAACAAGACAACTGCTTTCTATATTTTCAACAACACAAATACATTATATAAATCTATAAGAAGGAAGCTTGTGACACAGAGGACTGTGACAGTGGGAGGACTGAACACAGAGAGGTGACACAACAGAGCTGTTAGCAGAAGGAATCTTCCAGATTCTTCCTCCCCTCCGCCCCCGCCCCCCACTATCATGACCCCAATTCTACCTTACAAATCTGGCTAGACCAGAGCATGTACACTGGTACAGATAAGAGCTGGTAACATAGGGAATCCAGGACAGATAAACCCCCCAGGTCCAATAATGAGAGTAGCAATACCAGGAGGGTAGGGGGAAGGTGGGGAGATAAAGGGGGATCACAATGATAGACAAATAACGCCCCCTCCCCTGGAGAATGAACAACAGAAAAGTGAGTGAAGGGAGACAGTGGTTGGTGTAAGATATGAAAAGAAAAATAATTTATTAATTATTAAGGGTTCATGAGGGAGGGAGGAAGGAAGGCGGGGGAGGGAGGAAAAAAATGAGCTGATTCTTTAGTAGTTGAGTTCAGCTCCAATGGGTTACTCGTTGGACTGCTAACTGCAAGGTCAGCAGTTCAAAAACACCAGTCACTCCATGGGAGAAAGATGAGGCTCTCTATATCTGTATAGAGTAGCTGTCTTGGAAACCCCTAGGGGCAGTTCTACTCTGCCTGATAAAGTCAATATGAATCAGAATCAACTCAATAGCTATGAGAAATAAAGACAAAGAATGTGTGCCTCCCTATATTCACAGCAGGGGTTATATGGAATACGTTTGGTAAATGACACCCTTCCTCTCTCTTTTTAGATTTACCTCTTGTCTTTTACGGTTCATTTCCAGCATTTGCATCTTATGTAAATATTGTCTTTTCCCAGAAATATATGATGGTATTTGCATCTTCTTTTCCAGTTCCTGCAATCAAAGATGGCACACTGGTTATTATAGGATAATATGTCACTGATTCAGCAATCCATGACTTTAGTGTTTGTTTTTTACAGATCAGAGGGTCATATAAATGAATCAGTCACCCGCAATCCCAAGAAATCTCTCGTGATGCCCAGCGTGGACCATTGCCATTCCCGTGGGCCCTGTGTGTAGCCCTCACTGAGCTAAATGGCAGTGTGTGAGATCCTCTGGGAAGGTTCTAGCAGAGCTGTGCAAACCTTGAATAGAAATGTCTTTCCTCCTGTCACTTGGACAGGATATTATGTCCCCAGGTGTTTATTGCTGTCTCACCAGAAGTGTGTTCTGGTTTGATGAGCGCGCTGCTCCTGCCTCTGCCCCCACTGATCAATTGTCTGCTATGAAATGTGAGGGGAGCGGTGGCTTGGCTGAACAGCGCTGATTTCGACAGTGCACACCCCAATACACCAGTACGAACCCCGGAGAATCGTGCAGCTGAAGAAGAATTTGAAGTCGAGCAGCTGTGACTGAGGTGATTTGCCCCTGATGTCCAGTGGGAATCTTCAGGGGGACAATGTGGACAGCTGCGGAGGGCAAACGGGGTGAATACGCCATCATTTCTCACTTGCTTTTGCCAGGAAAGGGAAGGGCGGTATCTTTTCATGTCGTCCATGTCTGTCGAAGGGGCTCTCAGCACCACAGAGGGGCCTGTGATGACCTGACAGGAGCCGGGCAGCTTTTGCCAGATGAGCTGGCTCTAGAGCAGTGTTTAGGAAGACCCTAAATAATTAGGAATGACGTCTTGGGATCCATTCACAGCGTTCCTTTCCATGTGAGGGGAGTTTTTATGCAGCAGACTGATACATTTCTCACGGGAAGAGATCAATGGGGGACCCTGCCGAAGATTACTTTGTGGCGAGGTTGTGGCCAATAAGAACACGCTCTTTGTTGTTGTTGTTGTTAAGAACACGGTCTTGCAAAATAACAATTTATAAACTATCAAGGGCTCATGAGGGAGAAGGGAGCAGGGAGGGAGGGGATAAATGAGGACCTAATGCTGGCGGCTTAAGTGGAGAGGAAATGTTTTGAGAATGATGAGGGCAATGAATGTACAAATGCGCTT